AATATAGTCATTTCAGTATCCCATTCCTGCCGTCTACCAATATCCCTTGATCCCTTTAGCCCCAAGGGCCATGATGAGCTCCCTCTTGAATATATCTAATGAACTTCTCTTTCATTAATAGAGGGATTGAGTTCAAGAGCAGTGAAGTTATGCTCCAGCTATACAAAAACCTAGTTTGGCCACATCTGGAGTATTGTGTCCAGTTCTGGTAGTCTCATTACAGGAAAGATGTGGAAGCGTTGGAAAAGGTGCAGAGGAGATTTACCAGGATGTTGCCTGGAATGAGGGAAGATTGTAGGAGGAAAGGTTGAGAGAGCTAGGGCTTTTCTTTTTAGAACGACGAAGGATGAGAGGTGACTTGATAGAAGTGTACAAAATGATCAGAGGTATAGATAGAGTAGACAGCCAGAGACTTTTTCCTAGGATGGAGGTAGCTATTATGAGGGGGCATAGTTTTAAAGTGAGTGGAGGTAGATATAGGGGAGACGTCAGAGGTAGGCTCTTTACTTAGAGAGTGGTCAGGGCGTGGAATGCATTGCCGGAGAGGGTAGTGGACTCGGCCTTGTTAGGAGCATTTAAGCAGCTATTAGATAGGCATATGGATGATAGCATAAGATAGGGGTGGAGGTTAGATAGACCTTAAGATTATGGTAAAAGTTCGGCACAACATTGTGTACTGTGCTGTGCTGTACTGTTCTATGTTCTATGAACTGGCCCCAACAGCTTTCTGTGGGAGAGAATTCTACAGGTTCACAACTGAGTGAAGAAATTCTTCCTCATCTCAGTCCTAAATGGCTTTCCCCTTTATTCTTAGAATGTGACCCCTAATTCTGGACATTCCCAACATCAGGAACATTCATCCCACATCTAGCTGTCCAGTCACAGAGTCCCATCAAGATTTTGTATGTTTTTGAGATCTTCCTCATTCTTCATTTCATCAGTGCAAACCCAGTCAATCAAGTCTGTCTTCATATGTTAGTCCTGCCATCCCAGGAATCAGTCTGGGGAACCTACGCTGGACTCCATCAATCGGGAGAATGTCCTTCCTCAGACTAGGAGACTGTAAAATTTCACACAGTACTCAAGGTGTGGCCTCAACAAATCCCTGTATAACTGCAGCAAGGCATCCCTACTCGTATACTACAATCCTTTTGTTGTGAAGGCCAGAATGTCATTAGCTTTCCTCACCACCTGTTGCACTTACGTGCCAACTGTTCCACCATGACACCCAGGTCTCATTGCACCTCACATTTTCCTAAACTGCCACCGTTCAGATAATAATCTGCCTTCCTGTTTATGCCATCAAAGTGGCTAACCTCACATTTATCCACATTACATTGCATTTGCCAAGTATTTGCCCACTCAGCCAGTGGGCAAATAGCCCACTATCCAAGTCACCCTGTAGCATCTTCACATCCTCTTCACAGCACACACTAGCTTAGTGTTGTCAGCAAATTTGGAGATATTGTATTCAATTCCTTCATCCAATTCATTAACGTATATTGTGAACAACGAGGTTCCCAGCACCAAACTCTGCGACACCCCACTTGTCACCATTTGCTACTCTGAAAATGACCCATTTATTCCAACTCTCTGCTATACACGTCAACGCATTACCTCCGATACAATGAGCTTTGAATTTGCTTATTAATCTCTTGTGTGGAACCTTGTCAAAAGCCTTTTGAAATTTCGGATACACAACATCTACTGATTCATCCTTGCCCATTCTACTGGTCACATCCTCAAAAAAATTCCAGAAGATTTGTCAGCACTATTTTCCTGTAGTGAATCCATGCTGGCTTGGACCAATTCTGTCACTGCTTTCCAAATGTTCAGTTATTACATCCTTAATAATTGACTCCAGCATTTTCCCCACCACCGATGTCAGGCTAACTGGCCTATAATTCCCTGTGTTCTCTCTCCTTCCTTTTTTTTTAAAATACATGGAGTTATATTAGCTGCCCTCCAGTCCATTGGAATTCTTCCAGAGCCTACAGAATGCTGGAAAATGTTCACCAATGCACCTGCCATTTCCTTAAGTACTCTGGGATGCAGAACATATCAACTTCCTACCCATACCACAAAGTTAATGTCCAGTTCGTGTCTTTCTGTTTACAATAATGTTTTGTGTAGAACCTTGTCAAATAGCATTTGTTAGCTCAGTCGACTGGACTGCCTTGTGATGCCAAAAGTGTTGGTTCAATTCTTGCTCCAGCTGAAGTTACCATGAAGGACTCTCCTCAACCTTTCTCCTTGCCTGATGTGTGGTGCCCTTTGGGTTAAACGACCACCAGCCGTTTCTCTCTAATGAAAGGGAAGCTCTGTGGTCCCTTGGGGCTATGGCAATTTTATTGTCCAGAGATAATGCCCAAAGATAATTCCTGCCTGCTGGGCTCCCAACCAGGTTTTAAAAAAAAATCCATTCTACAATTGTGGTTTATTTTGTAAGCAATAATAGTGATAGCTGAGGGTCGAGAGCCCACATTCCCCTTAGTTTTTATAATCGTCATGGGAGAGCAACAATTACTGTTTGATATTCTGTGCAATTTTTAAAAATTGCATCTTTCCTTACATATGCTCCTTTTTTGCTTTTCATAGCTCAGCTAGATTTCTGCTTTTTCTTGGATTTGTATAAACCTATCTTTCAGCTTTGATACGGTCTTTTAATTTTTTTTGCTGACCATAGTTGCTTAACTGCAAAAGTTGGAGCTTTTGCCCATATGATGTACTGTTAATCATAGATCATTCATAGAATCCCTACGGTGTGGAAATAGGCCGTTCGGCCCAACAAGTCCACACCGACCATTGGTGCATCCCACCCAGATCCATCCCCCTATAACCCATCTAAACTACACACCCCTGAACACTATGGGCAATTTAGCATGGCCAATCCACCTAACCTGCACATCCTTGGACTATGGGAGGAAACTGGAGTACCCAGAGGAAACCCACGCATACACGGGGAGAATGTGCAAACTCCGCACAGTTGCCCGAGGGTGGAATTGAACCTGGGTCCCTGGTGCTATGAGGCAGCAGTGCTAACCACTGAGCCACCGTGCCGCCCCTAGAGAAATAAATAACCGTGTCTACTGTATCTACTAATTTTGTATTGTACCTAAAACATTTCAATATAGTTCTACTAAGAGCTGCTCTCATGTTGCAACTGTCAAATCTAATATTATATAGACATTCCACAGATTATCTAACTCTGGCTCCCTTGCTGTTGCTCATGATCAGTTTCAGACGCACTTTCACAAAGCTGCAGTTTGTCCTTTTTTTTTATAAAAGGGTGTATTCTAAGAAAATGTGACTGGTATTTATTTGAGTTGTTTATTTAGAGCTCCAGTCCTCAACCAAACCATTTTCGGGTATTTCATCGATGATTGATTGATTGTTCCTTGACTATAAGGACTGTTTGATTTCACAGATACTCAACACCATTCACAACTCTACAGTATTGGACCAATTCAGGCCTATAGCAGTCTGGGCAAAATGCAAGCTCAGTATGTAGCAAGCAACACTTGTGCCGGAGAATGACCGCAAGCAAGAAAAAAAATCTAATTGTCTCCTATTCAGCACCATTACTATTACAATAGTAATCAGTATCCTGAGTGTTCAGAAACTTGCCTCGACCAACTATGTAAATGCTGTAAGATACGAGAGCAAGTCTCAGATTGGAAGTCTATTGGAGTATTGAGCGCTCTGCTTGATGAATGTAGTTCAAACAACTCTCAAAGCTCTAAAGCATACAAGACAAATCAGTCTGGTTGAATCAGCACCCCATCCTTAACTATAAATGTCTACCCCTCTACCACTAATTGGTGATTGTTGTTGTTGGGTCAAAATTCTTGATTCTGTCCCTAGAACTGTAGGTGTATCTACAGCATACGCACTGCAGTCATTCAGGAATTAGACTTCCCACTCCTCAATTGGAGTGGGTAATTTATGCTGGCCTTGCATGTATCTCAACAATGAATTGAAAATAAGCATGCAATATATTGTTACTATATGTATTTTTTTTCTTTATTCATTCACGGGATGAGGGTGTCACTGGCCAGGCAACATTTATTGCCCACCCCTAATTGCCCAGAGGGCAGTTCAGAGTCAACCGCAGTGCTGTGGATCTGGAGTCACATGTAGGCCAGACAAGGTAAGGATGGCAGTTTCCTTCCCTAAAGGATATTAGTGAGCCAAATGGGTTTTTCCTGACAATCTGCAATGATTCTTAATTCCAGATATTTATTGAATTCTAATTCCACCATGTGGCAGGATTTGAACATGGGTCCCCAGAACATTATCTGGTTCTCTGGATTAATAGTCCAGCAATAATACCACTTGGCCATCGCCTCCCACCATGTATTTATGTTTTTGTCATGCATATACATTGGATATTGCTTTCTTTCCTCAATGTGAGTATTGTCATATCTGCCCAGAAGTCATAAAATCTCTGCGTTTGGTCTTGAAGGAAAAACAATCAAGACAGCCTGTCAGCACCACCCCCCGCCCGCCCAACATTTTGTTTTATTTTGGCAATAGCTTGTAGAATGACACTCAGTATTAAATCTGCCCTTTTCTCTGACTTGTGCTTGTGGGGTTACGGCCATTTCTGATCATGAATCTAGGACTCTAAATGTTTACAGCTGTTTTACTCCATTTAATAACTGAGTGAGGGGTAGTCATCTAAGGGTAAGTTGTTTTACTCATTATCTTTTCTTTTCCAGGTTAAAAAATCAAACTGCACAATCTGAGTTTCCTTTTATTTAAAAATGAGCCAACACACTCACTGAGCAAGAAAACAGAGACCCTAGAGATGGCATTACTGCTTGTTTTCCCATATAATTAATAATGTTGTACATTGATCTAAAATTGTGCTGAACGTCTTAACGTATTCTAGTTAGTCCTGTGTAAATGACTAGCAAATACTAATCTGTTACCTTATCTTTTGGTACAATTATATTTATGCAATATAATGAGTTGTTTTTTCCTTCTTTTCCTGAAAGGTGTGTGGTGGTGTTATGTAACCCCAAAAAAAATAAGCAGACTCACATTCTCAATGCCTCCAGGTAAGGGAGAACAAAGCATAGCATTTAGTGTGGTGCAGTCAAATAGTGTTAATGCCTAGGCAACACTGTTGTTCAAGACATTGTTTGAATGTAGAAACAGTTGAAAAGTGGAAAATAGAACAGAATTTCAGTAATCTTTCATTCCTCCCTGACTGTACTGTAGTCCTGTTTTCTAATGGGAGATGCTTCAGGGTATGGATGTATCCTGTTACGTCATGGCCATTGAGTCATATTTAATTGCCTTAAAAATGCTATTTTCCACATCCTGTCTTGTCTTTCTGAGAGTTATCATTTCTGGCACTTGGGGAAGATAATCATTGGACTTGTAATTGTTTTATTTGGTACTGCGTTCTCAAATGTAGTGCTAGTTTGAGACTTCCTCTCAATTTGTTCCCCTCTAAACCACAACATTAAAGTTTGTGATTTGCAAATAAAGGAAGAGTCTGTTATTTTTCCAGTAATAGAAACTAATCCCAATAAAACTCCAAGATATTGTCATTACAAGCTCTAAATAAATAGTGTGTAGCTTTTGTAATGTTATGCACTACGGTGTCTGAAGCTTGTCATTTCAAGAGTTCTATGTTGCCAGATATACCTGGATTTTCTTGCGTTTGGACTCTGTAAACATAAGTATCAAATCCACCAGTATTGTTTGAAAATTCCAATAATGCTTCAAGTCAATTATTGGCCTAATGTTTTTTTTTGATTTTTAGAAAAGCAGTCAGTGCTTTGGCATTCTCGCCAGATGGAAAATATCTTGTTACTGGGGAGGTGAGTATGTTTGTAAAATGACTGCATGCATAAGTTACAATTTTCCAATTAAAGGGGAGGCAATGGGCTAGTGGTATTATCACTGGACTATTAATCCAGACATCCAGATAATGTTCTGGGGACCTGGGTTCAAATTCCACAATGGCAGATGGTGGAATTTGAATTCACTAAAAGTCTGAAATTGAGTCTGATGACCTTGAATTGATTGTTGGAAAAACACACCTGGTCCACTAATGTTCTTTAGAAAGGGAAGCTGCCATCCTTGCCTGTCTGGCTTACATGTGATGCCAGACCCACGGAAATGTGGTTTGCTCATCTCTAATCAAGAGAAGTCAAAGTCAGCGAAGCCCACATCCCGTGAATGAATAAGAAAAACATAATTATGTTTGGTATGATCTTGGCCTCCACTGTACTCCTGTGTATGTTCCCCATAGCTGTTGGCTCCCCCCGCCTCAATCTATATATCAGTCTTTCAAAACTATAAAAATTTTAATACTTCAACATCCACAACATTGAAGCAGAGAAGTCCAAAGAATTCCAATGTCGGAAAGAAATTCTTCCTTGATTCTAACTTAATTGAACAACAAACATTGAAATAGAATGGGATAATTTTGTGTCAGGGAACTTCTTGTGATGAAGAGCACACAGGGAGCAGGGAGGTGGTCACACCACAGGTTCAGTAAGGTAGATGGGTGACTGCCAGGAAAAGCAGGCAGGTGGTGCAGGAGTCTCCTGTGGCTAATTCCCTCCTCTCTCGGGTATACTGTTGAGGGGTTGGGGGATAGCCTCTCAGCGGAGTATAAGAGCAGCAGCCAGGCCTGTGGCACCACAACTGGCTCTGCTTTAGAGCAGGGCCGGTCAAGATCCAAGCAAGCGATAGTGGTAGGAGACCCGCTGCACTGACGATGTTACCAAGCATGGTAACGAAACGTCTGCGGAACAACAAACCAGCTCGGCGAGCCAACCAACCTCAACACCCACAACCCGAGCTACAGATCTACTCCAAAACCTTAGGAGACCTGCTAATTAAGGGCACAGACAGACGTTTCTGTGGTTGTGTTCGAGAGTCCAGCATGGTGTGTGGCCTCCCTGTTGCCAGGGTCAAGGACGTATATGAGTGGTTGCACGAAATTCTTAAGGGGAGGGTGAGCAGCTGGAAGTCATTGTGCACATTGATACCAATGACATAGGTAGAAAGAGGGCTGAGGTCCTGATGAGTGAGTACAGGGAGTTAGGAAAGAGGCTGGAAAGCAGGACTTCGAGGGTAGTGATCTCTGGCTTACTACCAGTGTTGTGTACTAGCGAGGCAAGGAATAGAAACATAGGACAGATGAATGTGTAGCTAAGGAGCTGGTGCAGGGGGTAGAGTTTCAGGTTCTTGGATTGTTGGGACCTCTTCTGAGGCAGGGGTGACCTGTACAAGAGGGACGGATTGCCCCTAAACTAGATCGGAACCAATATACTTGCTGGGAAGTTTGCTAGTGCTACTCTGGCGGGTTTAAACTAGAGTGTCAAGGGGCTGGGAACCAGAGCAACAGGTCAGCAAGTGGAGGGATTGAGGGGAATGTAGATGTCAGGACCAGTAAGTCAGAAAGGAAGGTCAGGCACAGACGGGTAGATGGTACTAATGGGCTGAAGTGTTGAAATAAATACACGAGGAATATTATAGGTAAGGCAGATGAGCTTAGAGCCTGGATCAGTACATGATATTGTAGCCATTACAGAGACTTGGTTGAGAGGGGGACAGGACAGGCTGCTCATTGTTTAGACAAGATAGAAAAGAAGGTAAAAGAGGTGGAGTTGCATTTCTAATCAGGGAAAATGTCACATCTGCACTTGGAGAGGACATACAGAAGGGCTCATCCACTCCAGCAATATGAGTGGAGCTCAAAAGTAAGATGGGTGCAATCACTATGATAGGATTATATTATAGGCCTCCCAATAGCCACTGAGACATTGAAGAATAAATATGTAGGCAGGCTATGGAAGGATGCAATAACATAGGAGTTGTCATAGAGAGTGACTTTAAATTCCCCCAATATTGACTGGGACTCCCTTAGAGCAAGAGACTTAGACAAGGCAGAATTTAAGCGTAGCCAGGAGGGTTTCTTGAAACACTATGTGGATAGTCCAACTAGAGCAGGGGCCATACTGGCCCTTGTATTGGCAAACTGATCTTTCAGTGGGAGAGCAATTTGGGAAAAAATGATCACAACTCCTTCAGTTTTAAGACAGTGATGAATAAAGATAAGTCAGGACCTTGTGGGAAGGTACAAAGGTGAAAGTTCAGGACCAGCATGCTCCATTAAGGATGGCAAAGTAAGTGACCCTTGGATAACGAGGGAGGTTGTGAATTTAGTCAAAAGGGAAAAAAGAAGCATAGGCACAGTTTAGGCAGCTAAAATCGGCCAGAGCCTGAGGAATATAAAGAATGCAGGAAAGAACTCAAGCAGGGAATTAGGAGAACAAGAAGGGGCCATGAAATAACCTTGGCAAGTAGGGCTAAAGAGAATCCCAAGGCATTCTATAAATACATTAAAAACCAAAGGATAACTAGGGAGAAGGTAGGCCCACTCATGGATAAATGATGGAACTTGTGCTTGGAGGCAGAGTATGTGGGTGAGACCCTAAATGAGTACTTTGCATTGGTTTTTATATGGGAAAAAGATATGAAGGATAGTGAGATTAATGTGGGGCATGCTAATAGACTAGGCAATTTGAGATCAAGAAGGAAGTGGTGTTGGATCTCTTGAAGAGCATTAAGATGGATAAGTCCCCAGGACCTGATTGTATCTACCCCAGGTTATTGAGAGAGGCAAGAGAGGAGGTTGCTGGGGCTTTGACCAAGATCTTTGTATCCTTGCTAGCCACTGGAGAGGTCCTGGAGGATTGGCGAGTAGCTACTGTTGTTCTTCTGTTCAAGAAGGGAAATAGAGATAATGCAGGAAACTTAGAGGTGAGTTTCAGATTAGTGGTTGAGAAGCTATTAGAGGGAATTCTTAGGGATAGGATTTATGTGCATTTGGAAAAGCAAGGCCTAATTAGGGAGAGTCAACATGGCTTTGTGCGGGGCAGGTCATGTCTTACTAATTTGATTGAATATTTTGAGGAGGTGACAAAGGTGATTGAGGGTAGAGCAGTGGATGTTGTCTGCATGGATTTTGGTAAGGCTTTCAACAAGTTCCCGGATGGTAGGCTCATCCAGAAGATTGAGATACATGGGATCCATTGGTCGCTTGGATTCAGAATTGGCTTGCCCGTAGAAGGTAGTGGTGAAAGTGTATTTTTCAGGCTGGAGGTAAGTGACTGGTGTTCAACAGGGATCTGTACTGGGACCTCTGCTGTTTGTAATTATATATAACTGACTTGAGGTTGTAGACTTGCTCGCCGAGCTGGTATGTTTGGTTGCAGATGTTTTGTCATCCTGCTAGGTAACGTCGTCAGTGCGCCTCCGGTAAAGTGTTGGTGTCTTGTCCCACTTGTTATTTATATGCCTGAAGTGGTTGGCATTACTTTCAGTTCTGTTTTTCAGTGATTTGTATATCAGATCCAGTTCAATGTGTTTGTTAATGGAGTTCTGGTTGGAATGCCAGGCCTCAAGGAATTTCCTGGCATGTCTCTGTTTGGGCAGTGCTATTATAGATATGTTATCCCAGTCGAATTTGTGTCCTCCTTTGTGTGTATTGAGACCAGTGAGAATTGGTCGTGTCTCTTGGTGGTTAGGTGGTGTTCATGTATCCTTGTTATTTTTATTCAGTTTGGCCTGTGTAATGTTTCTTACAGCCCTGGCATGGTATTTTGTATGTTCTGTTGGTTTTATTGATTTTGGGTATGGGATTCTTTTAAGTTTGTCAGTAGCTGTCACGGGGTGGTTTGTTGGTTACCCTGATACCTAGGGGTCTGAGTAGTCTTGTGGTCATCCCTGATGCATCTCTGATGTATGGTAGGGTGACTAGTGTATCTGACCGTGTTGTGTCGTCTTGTTGTGGTCTATCACGGAGGTAACAGCAGATTGTGTGCTTTTTGGGTATCCATTCCTTTTAAAAATTCCATACAAGTGCTCCTGTTCTGCTTTGCGCAATTCCGGAATGCTGTGGTGTGTTGTGGCCTGTTTGAATAATGTTCTGATGCAGCTCTGTTTATGGTTGTTGGGGTGGTTGCTGGTGTACTTAAGTATCTGGTCCGTATATGTGGTCTTTCTGTATATGCTAGTCTGGAGTTTCCTGTTGTTCTTGCGTTCTACCATTATGCCTAGAAAGGGTAGTCGGTTATTGTTCTTTTCTTTTGTGAATTTTATTCCGGTGAGGATGTTGTTTATGTTGGTGAGTTTCTTCTAGTCTTGTGTGTTTGATAATCATGAAAGTGTCATCTACGTAGTGGACCCAGAGTTTGAGTTGTGTAGTGGGAAGTGATGTTCATTCTAACCTTTTGTGATACTGCTTCTGCAATCAGTCCTGATATTGGGGATCCCATTGGTGTTTTGTTGATTTGTTTGAATATACCCTAAAAGCACAGTCAGCTGTTACCTCCGCGACACCACCACAAAAAGACGCAACATGGCCAGACATACTAGTCACCCTACTGTGCAACAGAGACATATCAGAGATGTTCAGACCCCTAGGTATCAGGTAGCCCACGAACCAACAACCACCCTGCGACAGCTACTGACAAACGTAAAGGATCCCGTATTCACAACCAATAAAACTAACATAATACACAAAATACCATGCAAGGACTGTGAGAAACATTGCATAGACCAAACTGGAAGAAAACTGGCAATAAGGATACACGAAAACCAACTAGCCACCAAGAGACACAACCAATTCACAGTGGTCTCAATACACATGGACAAACAAAGGACACAAATTCAACTGGGACAACACATCCATAATAGCCTGAACTAAACAGAGACATGCCAGGGAAATCCTCGGCCTGGCATTCCAACCGGAACGCTATCAACAAACACATTGAATTGGACCTGATATACAACTCACTGAAAAACAACCGGAAGTGATGCCAACCATCCCAGCAAACTGAGGTATATAAATAATAAGTGGAACAGAACAACCAACACTTCACTGGAGGCACACTGACTATGTTACCTAGCAGGGTGACGAAACATCTGCAACCAAACACCCCGACTTGGCGAGCTTGTCTACAACCCAAGCTACAAATCCTCTCAAAAAAACCTTCAAATATAACTGACATGGATGAAAATTTAGATGGCTGGATTAGTAAGTTTGCAGACAACACAAAGATTGGTGGAATTGGGCACAGTGTAGAAGGTTGTCCACGGATACAGCAGAGTATAGATCAGTTGCAGATATCGGCGGCAAAGTGGCAGATGAAGTTTAGTCAGGCTAAGTGTGAGATGCTGCACTTTGGGCATTCAAATGTTAAGGAAAAGTATGCAGTTAATGGCAGGACCCTGAACAGCATTGATGTGCAGAGGATTCTTGGGGTTCAAGTTCATAGCTCCCTGAAAGTGACCATGCAAGTATACAGGTTGATAAAGAAGGTATTATGACATGCTTGCCGTTATTGGTCAGTAAATTGAGTACAAGTGTCAGGATGTCATGTTGCAGCTTTATAAGGCTTTGGTTAGACCCCAATTAGAGTCGTGTGTTCAATTCTGGTTGCTACATTGTCTTACGGTGAGGCTTTGGAGAGTGTGTGGAAGAGGTTTACGAGGGTGTTTGCAATAAGGAGAGGCTAGAAAAATTCGGGTCATTTTCTCTGGAGTGGTGGAGGCTGAGAGGAGACTTGATAGAAGTGTATAAAATTATGATATGCATCGATAGAGTTGACACTCAGAAGCTTTTTCCCCAGAGTTGATATGTCCAAAACGAGCATACATGCATTTGAGATGAGAGGGAGAAAATTCATAGGAGATACAAAGAACAATACAGCACAGGAATATGCCCTTCAGCCCGCCAAGCCTGTGCCAACACACTTTGTCCTTCCATATTAAAACTGCCTTCACTTACAGGATCCGTAACCCTGTATTCCCTTCCTATTCATGTATTCATCCAGGTGTTTCTTGAATGCTGTTATTGTGTCTGCCTCCACTACCACCTCTGGCAGCACGTTTCAGGCACTCACCACCCTTTGTGTGAAAAATGTGCCTGACACATCTGTTGTAGACCCCCCACACCTTGCACCTTGGGTCTGTGTCCCCCTAGTAACTGACCCCTCCACCCTTGGAGAAAGCCTCATACTTTACACTCTATCCATGCTATTCACAATCTTTTAAACGTCTTCTGTCAGGTTGCCCCTCAACCACTGCATTCCAGTGAAAACCAACCCAAACTGTCCAACCTTTCTTCATAGCTAAAATCTCGCATAGCATGGAACATCCTGGTAAACCTTTTCTGTACCCTCTACAAAGCATCCACATCTTTTTGGTCGTGTGGTGACCAGAAATGTATGCAATATTCCAAGTGTGGCTTAATTAAAGTTCAATAAAGCTGCAGCATAACTTTTCTATCCTTGTACTCAATACCCCTTCCAATGAAGGCAAGCATGCCACAGGCCTTTTCTTTACTACCTTATCTACCTGCACTGCCACCTTCAGTGATCTGTGGACATGCACACCCAGATCTCTCTGTATATCAATACTCCTAAGGGTTCTGCCATTCACTGTATAATTTCCACCAGTACTTGACCTTCCAAAATGCATCACCTCACATTTGTCCAGATTAAATTCCATCTGCCATTTTTTCTGCCTATGCCTCCAACTGATCTATATCCGGCTGTATCCTCTGACAGTCCTCCTCACTATCCGCAACTGCACTAATCTTTTTATTGTCCGTGAATTTGCTCATCCGACCAGCCATGTTTTCCTCCAAATCATTTATGTTCTCATGAGCATGACCACAAACAGCAGGGGTCCAAGCATTGGTCCCTGTGGAACACCGCTAGTCGCAACCCTCCGTTCCACTACCACTACCTTCTGTCTCCTATGCCTAAGCCAGTCTGTAATCCATCTTGCCAGCTCATCCCTGATATGATGTGACTTCAACTTTTGTACCAGTCTGCCATAAGGGACCCTGTCAAAGGCTTTACTAAAGATGTGAGGGGCAAGTTTCCTTTGCAGAGAGTGCAGGAATCTGGAACATGCTGCTGGGGTGGTCATAGTGGCAGATACGATAGGGGCATTTGAGGGACTTCTGGATAAGCACATGAATATGCAAGGCATGGAGGGATATGGACTGAGGGCAGGCAGAAGGCATTAGGTTTGTTTGAGGTCATGTTCAGCATGACATCGTGGGCTGAATGGCCAGTTCTGGTGCTATACAGTTCTATTACTATGTGATTAGAGTTCTGAAATAAATTCTGTTTGATCCCTACTGTATGTTTTACTTCTTTTTAAATAGAGTGGTCACATGCCTGCTGTGCGTGTCTGGGATGTGTCTGACAAAGTGCAAGTGGCTGAATTACAGTGCCATAAATATGGAGTATCATGTGTATCTTTTTCCCCCAATATGAAGTATATTGTATCAGTGGGCTTCCAGCATGATAAACTTGTGAACGTTTGGGATTGGAAGGTAAGAGTTCAAACACAGTCTGGTGCATTTTTGACTTTTGCATTCTGTGCCAAATGTAATTAAATCTAGATACAAACTGTGTCAGAAGTTCACAAGGTTTAAACCACAGAGAAAAGGCACACATATCTAGTATGAAGATCCACATGTCCTTGACAATGTTTGGAATTGGAAGCTGTGTATAATTATAAAGGACAATGTATTATTGAATAATAGCCAGTAACAATGCAAGCCAGCAGCTACCAAAATACTTCTCACTTGTTACTCATGTTTTCCTTATTTTATGAATTACCTTGCATATTCAACTTTCCTTTACCGAAGAATGAATACAATCCACTCTTCCTCATTGTACTACCATGCTACAATTAAGTGGTAGAGTCTTATATGAGAGATTTACATTAATTCCTCGACCTTTGTGCTGTATTGGGGTGTAGTTTTTCTTTTCAATTTATAAACAGTGCTTTGGGGTTAGTGGCTTTATATATTTTACTGTATGTTTAAAAATTCATTTCAATTTGTGGTACAAAGATTGATTTTATTTTGTTTTTTCATATTGCTAATACACTTCTATTTAATGTTAAGACAAAATCTGCAGTGTGCTTCTATTTGTGAGACCCTTTTTTGTTGAAAGAAAACATGATCCAGGTTTCAATTCTGGGATCTTATTTGTCCAGCAATAACATCAGCTGGGATCATAAGGTAATACTCACAGAAATGCACTTGTTTTGACAGAAAAACTCCACTGTGGCATCTAATAAAGTTTCCAATAAAGTTATAGCTGTTTCCTTCTCTGAAGACAGCAGTTTCTTTGTTACGACTGGCAACAGGCATGTCAAGTTTTGGTACTTAAATGAATCCAAAGCCTGCAAGGTGGGTACATTCTTCCTGTTTCAGAAATAATTATTTCAAGCATGATTCGAAAAGATTTTAGGGGAATGCATGCTTCAATTTGGGACCAATTGGAGTGATACAAGAAAATGAGTGATTTCCTTTTGAGGTTATTTCACAGCTTAAATAAGGTGTACAAATCAAAAGGTACTTTAGGACATTTATGGCAGAGAAGGAAGCTATTCATCCTTTCATGTCTGCACAGTCAACAAGGATTTGATTGTATTGATTCCATTTTTTAGCTTTTGGCTCACAGCCCTGTAGGCTTTGGCAATTAAGCAGAATATCTAAACACTGCTTAAATATTATAGGGGTTTCTAACTCAACCACATTTTCAAGTAGTGAGTTCCAGTCTGTCTCCATCCTCTGGGTGAATAAAATTCTCCTCCACTCTCTTCTTGGTCCTCTACCTTTAAATCTATGCTCCCAGTTATTGGTCTGTCTACCGATAGGGTGGCTAGGAAAACCCAATTTCTATCTGTACCTGTTATAATGTCTTATACCACGATCAGGTCACCCTCAATCGTCACTGCACCAAGGAAAACAACCTCAGGTTGTACAAAACCCTGGTTAGACCAGACTTGGAGTATTCTGAGCTGATCTGGGCACCTCACCTTAGGAGGGATATATTGGCCTTGGAGGAAGTACAACATGGGTTTATAAGAATGATAACTTAACATCTGTAGTCCGGGTATGATGAGAAATTATACAAATTAGGATTGTTTTCTGTACAATTTCGAAGGTTACGGGGTGATCTGATGGCAGTCTTTAATATACTAATAGAAAAAGTCAGGGTCAGTAAAGATAACTATTTCTACTGGTTGGGAATTCTAGAACTAGAGAGTGCAGTCAAAGAATCAGGGCCAGACCATTCAGGAGAGATGTCAGGAAGCACTTCTATACACAGAGTGGTAGATGTTTGGAACACACTGCCATGAATGGCAGCTGATCCTGGAACAGGTGTTAGTTTAAATCTGGGATTTTTCCTCAGCAAAGATATTAAGGGATATGGGCCATAGGCAGACTTTGGGGTTGAATCACAGATCGCCCACGATTTTACTGAATGGCTGACAAGCTCGAGGGGCTAAATAGCCGCCTACTCTTATTTCTATCTAGTCTTTCCTCATATATCTCATCCTCCAGCCCAGGCAGCCTTCTAGTAAATTTCCCTGTACTGTGTCCGGTACAGTCACATCCTACTACTATGCAGTGCCCAGAACAACTACACTCAATATTCGAGATGTGTTCTAACCAGTGTTTTAGATAGTTCCAGCATATCTTTCTGATTTTTACATTCTGCGCTTCCTGCTAATAAAGGAAAGTAATCTATATACCATCTTATCCACCTGCCCTGCCACCTTCATGAATTTGTGGATATGCGCACCAAGGTTTCTCTGAACTTCAGTGCTTTCCAGTTCTACCATTCAGTATGTCTCTTGCCTTGTTAGTCCTCCCCAAAGGTTTTAATGCTTGTTCTTACACTCTCGTTTTTACTCTCACTCTGAATTCCATTTGTCACTGCTCTGTCAGCTGACTTGTCTGTTGATACCTTACAGCCTCTAGCTATCTTCACTGTTTACTGTCCTATCAATTGTTGTCATCTGCAAACTTCTTGTTTATATCTTTGATATTTAAGTTCAAATTGTTAATGTACACCATTATCAGCAAGGGTAACACCCAGTCCTGAAGAGTCCCTAATTTAAACAGACTTCCAGTAACAGAAACAACCTACAATCCATCACCCTTTGCCTCTTAGCCAGTATGCCATATTTCCTTGGATATTCTGCCATGATAGATCTTATGAGAAACCTTGCTAAAGTCCATGTAGGCCACATCAAGTGCATTCAACAAAATGCCCGGTTACTTCCTCAAGATTTGGTCAGATTTCGTAGAATCGTGCAGTTCAGAAGAGGCACTTCAGTCAGTTGATCTGCACTGTCAAAAATATACGAATCCCTGCACTAGTCCCACTTTCTCGCACTAGGCCCACAGGCCTGAATGTTATGACACTTCAAATGCTCATCCAAGTACTTTTTAAGGTTGAGGTTTCATTTGTCAACTACCATGTAGTGCATTCCAGACTCTCACCACTCTTTGGTCAAAAAAGATTTTTTTCCCTTGAATCTTGTCTAAACCTCTTGCCTTTCACTTTTAAAAATATGCCTCCTTGTTATTGACCGTTTGAGTAGGGGGAACAACTGCTTTCTATTCACGTTGTCCATGCCCCTTTTATAATCGACGCACCTCGATCAAATTCTCTTCTCTCCAATATCACTCCCAAAGCCTTTTCTGCTCCAAAGAAAAGATCCCAAGATTACCCAACCTCTCTTCATAGTTGAAATGTCAGATCCCAAACAATATCCTGGTGAATCTCCTCCGTACCACTCCAGTGCAGTTACATCCTTCCTACATTGTGGTGACGAAAACTCCACATAGTACTCCAGCCCGTGGCTTAACTAAAGTTCTGTACATGTGCAACATGATCTCCCTGCTCTTATAATCTATGCCACTCCTGATTAAAGGCAAGCATCCATACACTACCTTATCTACCCTATTAACCTGTTCTGCCACGTTCAGAGATCTGGACAAACACCCCAAGAACACTCTGTTCCTCTGAGTTTCCTAGTGTCCTGCCATTCATTGGAGTAGTCCCTTAGTTGTTCCTTCTTCCAAAGTGCATCACCGCACATTTATCATGGTTAAATTCTATTGCCATTGACCTGCCCATCTGACCAATCTGTTTATATTCTCCTGTAACCTAACACCTCTTACCCCTCAACCACCTGCCCAGTCTTTGTATCATCTGCAAACTTAGCTACAAACATCCCTCGCCACATTCCCATACTCATCATATTAATGAATGTCACAAACTATAAGAGATCTAGCACTGATCCCTGTGGAATGCTGCTGCACACTGGGCTCCAGTCACACGAACAGCCTTCTGCCATCATACTGTTAAGAAACCAATTTTGGATCCAACTTGCCAAGATACCCTGGTTCCCATGAGCTTTTCCATTTTTCTTTTTTCTTTGGTTTTCCCATGTGAGACCTTGTCAAAGGCCTTGCTAGAATCCATATAAACTGCCCTATCCACAACCAAACAGCTGGTCATGTTTTTGAAAAATTCCACCAGAATTGTTAGGCATGATGACCTTCTGACAAAGCCATGCTGACTGCCCATAATCGAACCTTGCCTCTCTAATTTTTCCTCCTGTTTTCTCTAATAGTTTCCTTTCCATTTGTCAAATGCTACCTTCCTTCAACGCATCCATACTAAATATTCCTCATTAATCCATGGCTCTAAGTACAGACATAATCTGCCCCTCCGAATTCTTTCTCGTTATTGACATTAGAATGATTGCCTTGTAATTTCTGGTCTAATTTTCTCCATTTTTAATAGTGGGGCAATGTTATCAATCCTTTGGCCGTTCAGCTATAGCCAAAGCGCCTGATATCTCCTCCCTTGCCTTCATCCCATCCAGGCATGCAAATTTATCCTTTTTTTTTTAAGGCTGTTTAACCAGCATCTCCTCTGTTAATTTCTTCTAATATTTCATCAGTCCTCCGCCCTGATTCATTATTGTGTCATCCTTTTTCCATTGTGAAGAATGGCACAAAGTACGTTTGAGGGCTGCCCTTGCCATCCGGGTCAACACATTACCTCCATGTTCTTTAACAGGTCCTATGCATTCCCTAATTATGAAAAGCAAAGAATATATTTGAAACAAGCTTTTGGGTTTTCCTTTATTTTCCAATGCTTTCCCAGGCAATTTTAGCATTCCTAGCTCCTTACCTCACTCTTTCACCTTGTTCTTTTACCTGTGTCCCTTGACAGCCAGGCTTCTCTGGCCTTAATCCCACACTGTCTTTATGGAAATATATTTGCCCTGTACTTTCACTGTTTGCTCCTTGAATAGCTCCCTGTCATCTGACTGACTAGTTTTATATGAAAGCAGCTACTTCTAATCCACTTGGGCCAAATTGTTTTCTGTTGTAGTAAATTTAGCCTTACCCTAGGTTAGAACTTCTATTGCTGACCTATCCTCGTTCTTTTCCATAACTATCCAAAATCTGACTAAGTTATGGTCACTTCCTCAAATGCTTCCCGACTGACGTGCTATCCACATGCCCGGGTTTATTTCCAAATATTAGGTCCAGAACTGCCCCCTCAGTTGTTGAACTTTTTCTACCTACTGCGCGCAATTTAAGAAATTTGTTCCTTTTTACCCCTACCTTACAGACTATAAGACAATCCCAGTTAATGTGGGCAGTTAAATTCCCCAACTATTACTGCCTTATTATTCTTCCGCACTATGAAATTTGATTTGCATATTTGATCTCACCTCCCCCCAACGGCCCATCCACCAACCCCATCTTCCTTTTTTGTTTGTTTATTTATTCGGTTACCCTATGTAGTCATGCCAATCCCCTCATCCAAGATAGAAGTTCGCCAGAAATGGTAAAGGGTTTATCTGTGGGAAGTTGAGACCCCCATGGATTTTACAGTTTGCTGAGTTAACAAACTTGGAATGATCAAGTTCTTAGAGCTGTAAGTTTTTAAACTCGTCCGTTTGTCTTGAGCCTCACATATTGAAGTCGTAAACTATATTAAAAAAAAGCAATGTTTAAAAGATAGTAGGAACT